ACGAAAGCTAATCAGTTGCAATCGCAGAGGTGGACCAGCCGAGGGCGTTTCTCGTTCGCTGTAGCATAGGGGGTACGCGCGGTAATACGCCTCTATCGGACCCGCACGCGAACCGACATCTTGGGGAGGCTGAGGTCCCAAGCGCGACTCGTCGTCGGTCGACTAGGACGCATCCCACACACCACGCGCACTCCACGTTACGACCAAAAAAAAAAAAAAAAGACATAAAAACATGTACATGCACACGTACAAAACGACACGACACAAACAACGCGACAACGCTCCTAGCCCCTCAGTAGCCGTCCCATAACTTTCGGACGCAAAAATCGAATAGCCGTCGCGCGCGGAACTTAGGATAAAAAACGCGCGGACGCAGGGCCTACTCATATCGACTCGCAATGCAAACGTACGCAAGCAGTCGCAATGATGGCGTACTGTGTAGTGTCCATAATCAAGCGGTCCCTCGTGGATCCGAGTACCGCTTATGACGCTCAAGTGTCAGACTTGAAGTGTCGTGAGGGCCTAACCCTTCACGACATTGCACGGCTGAAGGAAATAGTCGTGCAGCCGCCGCTAGGCCTTAGGCTCTTGACCTGAGCGTCTCGGTAGGCAAATCAAACAGGCTCTGCGCGAGGGAAGACCCCTCCCCCGCAGAGCTTAGGGCTTGGGATGTCCTGGACAAGGACCTCGAATCCCAGCCCAGGACCAACGTCCGACTAAGAAAATCAACAAGCAGGAATAAAAATAGAAGTAGGGGCCTCCCCTAGGTTCTTCAGTCCCAGCTTCTGGACGGACTTTTAATACGGGGGTTCTTCAACCCATGCAAACATTCATCCCAAGCATGCCCATGTATACATATATAAGGATTAAATATGTGACGATCGCTCCTCATGGTTTCGCTGGGGTTTCTCACAATAATACGTATATGTGTGATCGCAGGCAACCAAATCCAGAATCTGATTCGCAGCACATACCTGCCATCACATCAACGAACCAAATCAACAGTCCACACACTACACGGAGTCAACCCCAACCACCCTCGACGCTCATACCCCTTGCTTTAGCCATACAASCCCCAAACCTCCTGTCCAACCAACCTTAATTAAATACTCAGCACCTTTGTTAAATGGCCATTCAATAAAAGTCCGGGTGAAACCTTAAYAAAACAATAAAATTCACCAGGGCTCAAGCCTTTTAGGTTGAGAGTGGAGGGTGAATTGAAATTGAGTCGTAAACCGACGAATCGGCAACCGACCTGTTATCAGTGATAACAGATGATGATCCTCAAGGGATCAAGCTGGATCTAATCCTGAACTTGACTCAAATGATCAAAGAAATCTGTAATACACAACAGATCAATCCCCAAACTAGATCATAAGTGTATGGAGAATACAACTCCATAGTACATCCTCACTAAAAAAACTTCCTAACTAAACCTAAGTCTATTTTTTTTAAGTCAGTGCTTAAGTCAAAGGTAGGCCAACTGCAGAATCCCCCCCTATTCTGGGTGGATTGCCTGAATTTTCACCTGTCAAAATATAACCTTTCTCCTCTACACTAAGAAAAATTTCGGCAGCGCTTCCCGTAGGAAAAGTGCCATTTTCAGAATTGATATAAGCCCAGATATAAAAAATCTAAATAATTTCTAACTCTGGAAAGTCAAAGTTTGTCTAACTCCCTGAATTAGTAGAAATTTGGGCAGCATTCCCTTTAGAAAAGGAGACTTTCCAGATTTATACTAAGCCAGATACAAAGCAGGAGATAATTTCTAACTCTT